TTATTGTTATTGTTATTGTTGTTATTGTTATTGTTTATTTTTGTTGTATTTTTGTTTTTTATAATTTGTACAAATAACCTCCCTGTGGTTCGACCCCGGTCTTGCCGGGTTATTTATTATTTCGACACTCCTGCACTTGGGAGAAGACATCAATCTTTTAGTCATGTTACATATGACTCATCACTTGTTTTTAAAAAAGAAACTGAGTGGCACGTTGTTTATCTTTGTTAATCATCTTCCTCGAAAGATAAAAGATGATTAAAATGTTACTTTTAAATGAATGAATGTAATATTCCTAATCATTTTAGGGGTTCTAACCACTATTATTTGAAAGAAAATATTTCCCTTTACAAGGCTATATCATCTTTTTTTGATATTTGTGCCCTATCTACCATATGGTTTTTGTTTCTTATTAAATGAAAAACTCATTATATATATATAAAGAGGAATTATAACATAATTTCTTTTTTCAATGGAGTTTAAATTCTTTATTTTCTAATAAAAAAAATCTTAATATACATTTTCATTTCAAATTCTTGACTCAATGTTTGATTAAAATCAATAAAACACACATATTTTCAATTTAATTTATTAGATAAACATATTGATGGGTTAGGTCATGATTTTCTAAAAGAATTTCGTCATTTAAAAGTCATCACACAAAAATCACAACCTAAAATAGGATTATGTCTTTCTTGGCGACCAACTTCGTGTTGGGCTATGATATGCCCTCGCCCAACTCTAAATTAGGCAAGGACACGTCCACATGCAACTTTAATTTGTGTCGTGACGCATCTTCGTCCAACTCCAAGTAATACGCAAGACAATTCTAGTCCCAACTCCATGTGGGGTTTGGACGTGTCAGTGCCCCACCCTACATTGGTCAAGAATGTGTTCGTGCTTAACTCTAAGTTGGGTCATGGTGTATTTGTGCCTGACCATTCTTTGATGCAATCACAAATTGAACCTAACTTCTCTTGAATTCACCGTATGAGTTGAACCCAACTCTATTCAGGTTCAGTATATAGCTAAAAGGTAACTCCACATTGAGCCTTTCATATCTCAGACCTAGGCTAGTAATTATGATATCCATCATATCTGATCAAATACGAAGAAGTGGTCTATGCTTATATTAATTAAATGTGGTGGCACGAATAATGAAATAATATTATTTTACTATTATAAGATTACATCTCTATTCCTCCTACATTATATAAAATAGGTTAAGCCAAGTAATATAAAAGAAAACATGAATATACAATAAAAAGATTCGAAACCTTATATACTCTAAGACATAAACACCATCCTTCTTCTTTGCTAACTTATATATATATATATATATATATATATTATATTATTTTTTATCTTTATAAAAGTTTATTAATATCTTTATAAATATGCTTTCACCACATAAAAATACCTTGTAATAACTAAATATTTAGAGGGCTCCCTATCAACATAGGGGTCTATAAAAAATATTACATGTATTTATAGAAAAAAAAATTTACATTTCTAAA